TGCACTCTTAAGAAGCCGAGAAGATAATAATGAGGTAATATTACATAGCGTCTTCATTGTAGACAGAAGAGCCAAGCAAGTTATCTTAAGATGTATGCCGCTTAATCTATTTCTGTAAACATTTCATGCTAAAATGTAGAAACAAAGCCAAATACAAGATTAAAAACTCAGAACCATGCCTTCCTCTCCATCATAAGCTATAGCATACAACAGCAGCACACGTAATTGATGTAGGCACATACATATGTATGCATACACACACGCATGTTATTTAAAAGAAAGGGAAATAGCGTTTCACTTACAGTAGATCTTTAGATGAAGACTGCAGAACCGTGGGGGATGTTTCAGCCTCATTCTCAAAATTTCAATTCTCAAAATTGCTTTATTCTCTTGCTGATAATTTAAAGTTGGCACGGGCAGTTCACAGAGCCGTGACCTGAGCTTCTGTGATCTGGTGGTGAACTGACGGCTTTGATTTCCTCTTTAGGTAGTGGAAAGCAACTCAATATTTTGCTTGAAAATGCATAAAGAGATGTCTTTTAACTTAAAAAGTATTTTAGAACAGTGGAAGAAGAAGTTAAGTCCTGGCTCTCACATTGTATTAAGTAAGTATTTTGATTTCTGTTTGTATTTAGATGAGGCTGAGCTAGCAGGGATCATTTTTTCATTTTTACATCATATTCAGACTTTTTATTATTTTTAAGGTTTCAGCATTCATGAAAAATCTTCCTTTCAGATGAAGATTGGCCTTTCTTATAAGGTGAATCCAGGAACTCCAGGGCTCTCAGCTTAGCAAGCAGGTTCTTTCTGGAAATCCAGTTTGGGTTCACCTATGTACAAAGTCTGTGTTGGTCTATGCGTCTGTCTGTCTATCCAGTCATCCACTCTGCACACACCTGTAATGATACTAAGCTTAATAGCAGAAATATGAAGCTCAAAACTTAAGGAGCAAGTGAAAAGTCTGTGGGCAGTCTGATTTATGATAGAGGAAAACATTTTTCAAGCTAAGAGGTCACTGTCCTCTGGAATTTTATCATTAGGCTGTAACATTTGGCAGGGGAAAGAGAAAGGTCTTACTTTGCATATATAAAGTATGATGCAGTGACTTAGTTTGAGCCTTTGCCTAGCTTGTGTGAGGCCTGAGTTCAGCCTGAGCACTGCAAGTAAAGATGTAAAATGTAGTACAGAAACATGGTGTGGTATGGGTGCTAGGCCTGCTTATGGAGAGTTCATGGGACCTTGTGGACATTCTTTCTCCAGCCTTAACAGATGACTGCATACCCCTCCTGGCCATCACCGATGCCACCTGTGTAGTTCACTTCAGCTTTCCTTCTTCCCCGAAAGTGCTTGGTGGGCGCCTGTATTGCATGTCTGATCATTTTCAGAGTGTAACTGAACAGGTTTGATCAATTTTTATTTTATTTCTTGTTTCTCTCTCTCTCTCTCTCTCTCTCTCTCTCTCTCTCTCTCTCTCTCTCTCTCTCTCTCTCGTGTGTGTGTATTGGTAAATTCTGAGCTTACAAAGTTTTGAGTGAAATCAGATTGGTATGGATGATCTACCTCTTTTATTCACCCTCAATTTTAAGGGTTCTCCTGCAGAGCAGGGAAATAAAAAAACCAAATCTGTCTTGTTGCTGACGGAGAGAAATGCAAGCCAAGCCGTTGGTGTCCTGCGATACTTGGAGCGAGCAGACGCCAAAATCCCATCAGAGTTGTATGAGTTTACTGCTGGGGTCCTGGAAGCCAAAGAAGATAAGAAGGCCAGAAGACCTCTTTGTTCATACCTTAAGGCTTTTGGCTTTTGCAAGTAAGCCAATTCTTTTTAAAACTGAGTAATAACATGGATTAAAATTAATAATAAATAAATTTGCCCCTTGATGAAAATCTCACAACCTATGTCCTTGTGTTAATCCACTCAATGCAAAAGGAGCAGAAAGAGGTTCCCACATGGTCTTCCAGAGATGACTGCCTTCTCATAGCTGTTAGCACTGGCAAGCTCTGCTTTTTTTAAATGGCACATATTAATTGTACATGTTAATGGGATGCAGTGTGCTATTCCCATACCCTTCCCAGTTCCTAGCACTCGCGTTCTCCTTTCTGGTTGACCTGATTTTAAGTTCCACCTGTAAGAGAACATGCGGTGCTTGTTTTTCTGTGGCTGGGTTGTTCTATTTACTTTCTCCATTTCTACCCATTTGCTTCAAATAATAGGACTTGATTTTTCTTCATAGCTGAATATTAATATGCTCTCTCTGTGCGCCCCATTTTTTCCATTAATTTATTGATAAGTTTTGTCTTAGTTTGCTTTTTTTGTTGGTATTATAAAACACTGAGCAACAGCAACTTAAGGGAGGACCAAGCTTATTTCAATATTTTACTTTACTTTATGGCTTCGTATTCTGTTCTTTGATATATTGCCATGTGTGCATCCACTTTTAGTTAATGGGCTTGTGGCATTGTGGTTGGGGCTGTTATGCATGGTACTGGTCTAAAATGTTTTCATGAGCCATGTCTTTTCTAGGGACTATGTGTATGTGTTCAGTCCTTTGGGTGACAATAGTTAAGAAGAAAGAGGCTTCTGTCTTAGAGGTTAATTGACTCTTGTCCCAAGACTGCTCACAACCATCTATTACTCCACTTCCAGGGGATCTGATGCCTTCTTCTAGCCTTTTTGGGCACCAGGCATGCATGTCATTCACAGACATACATGCAGGCAAAAGCACATAAAATAAAAATACACAATTTAAAGACTGACAGTGTCTCTAGGGATAATAAAGAACTTTGTCCTTTGAACTCATCCAGTGTTGACTACACACTGCGTATGCGTTGTTGGTATACTCTGCAGTCTAGAGCTAAAACTTTTCTGATTGTAGCTGAAGGTCAGTTTCCTGGAGATTTCTTGACACTTTGTGTTAACTACCTTTCTTCTTGGTTTAAAATCTGGCCTTTTTTTTTTTTTTAAAGAGACAAAAGGATCTGCCCTGACCGGCACCACATTAATCCAGAAATAGATATCCCAAGGAAGTTATCCAACAAAGCTCTGCCAGTGTCTGGACACGTTCGGGTGAGTTCTGCTGGCCTCCTTTGTCTGCTGGAGAGTCATTTTCATGAAGACCTTTTATCTGTTTTAACTTCTTAGTAGTCTATTTTGCGGGGCATGTGGGGGGGGGCGGGTGTACAATGTGTTTTGATCATATTTATTCACCTCCTTCCAGGTCCACCTCCTTACCCAAACAACTTTTTGTCCTCTTAAAAAACAAAACTGGAGAGTCCAGTTTGTGCTGCCCACATGTTCTTGGATGTGTGTCCCTCCACTGGAGTTTGGTGTCTACCAGGGGCTTCACTCTAGAGAAAACAGAGCTGGTTTTAAAAGCAGGAGAAAAAATGAATCCCTGTCAGTTGGGCTAGCTTACTAGAGTTGCTGTAACTCAGCACTGCGGGTGTTGATTCACAACCCAGCTATATTCTCACAATTTATAGCCAGCCAGTGCAGGATAGCCTGTGCTTGTCTTTGTTGTCTCCCGGCCTCTCCTGACTCCTCTTGACCCCATCCCCATCACTACTTCCTCCTGATCAGCCCCTTACCCCCCACTCCTGCAGACTCCCCTTCCTGACCTCTGCTGCCTCTAGGGGAACAAAGAGCTTAAACAGAAGGGAGGAGAGGCAAGAAAAGGGTGGGTGGGGATTGGGATGTGTGGGGGTTAATATGGTCAACATATTACATATACATGTACAAAAACTTTAACACAAAGTTTTTTAAATAGATATCTAAAGAGTTGAGTTAAAAGTGAACAAAGGAGCATATAGCTAAAATGAAGTGTTTATCGTGTGTATGCATCTGAGTGCACCAGTACAGGTCAGAGGTCAGAGCTCCAAGAGTCCATCTCAGGTTGTCAGGGATATGTGCAAGTTCCTCTTCTAGCTGAGCCATCTTTCTGACCCTAAAATGAAGTTTTTAATGATGGAATTTTCTCTAAGATATCCTTTGTTAATCTTAAAATGAGACTGGTTATTTATATGGTATTGATTCTGCTTTGGCCCAGTGTTTAGACTGCTTCCTGGCTTATTCTTCTGTCCTTTTGTGCATATCTTGGGTTCTCAGTATGTTTGGTGGTTTCTGCAGACATCACTTGTGCAAGTTTTATTTCAACTGTCTTCTACATACGTGCGCTGTATTTATTTCAGATAATACCTTTTTACGTTTCAAATGCAACCAATTACTTTGGTCGTATAATTGATAAACACTTGGATCTTTATGCAACTCTCAATGTGGAAATGAGTGAATATTTTAAGGATCCCAGTAACAAAACAGCTGCTGAAAAGGTGGAGAATTTGGGGTTGTATGGATTAGAAGAGAAAACACTTTTCCAGAGGTAAACTATCTGTAATCTCTCTACAGTTGTAAGACATGAATAATTTAAGCAGTTTTGAGTGCTTATTCTCACTATTGTCTGTTGTCAGAGTATGTGTACCCTGAGCCTGGCCACCTCCCAAAAAAGGTGGTGCTTGCACACTGTGCTCAGAACACCTGGAGCAGATGTGCATGGAATATCTACTAGCTCCTGAACAGAGGACAGCGACCTTATTCCTCCAAATATGTACTAATCCATCACTGTGTGTAGCATACATACTCCTTGGTAACAATGAGTTTCTCTCAGATTCTTATAAAAAAGGCTTTATTCTCACTTTACAGAAAAGCAAACAGATCTGTGGCCTTGATGAGGAAGTTGTCTAAGGCTAGCTCACTGGGTGGCAGAATTAGTGTCCCAGCCTGCCCACCCATGCACCTACCTTTCTGAATACACTGTTGATGTTAGCCTCATCTCAGAAGCAGGATCTTTACTTCGCTGTGATGCCGTTGCTCATTCATCAGCTACAGGGTTTGTTGTGTTGAGAAGGGCTACCTGTTCCGTGCTTTAGACAGTCTGTCATGGAAGGACAGTGCTGTGGAGTCAAACTGCAGTGTGCAGAGTAAGGTGCCTTCCTTTTTGGATTCCCTGATGTCTCTGTTGTTCTTTAGGGTTCAAGTGTTGGAGGTGAGCCAGAAGGAAGACAACTGGGGTTTGGGGAGTGTCTTGGTGAAATTCATAGATGAAGGCAGGACCAAGCTCATCGCAAGAGACAAGCTGCTGCTGCTCCCAGAGAAGTTCCACACTCTGCCCCCTCAGGCTGTGGAGTTCATTGTTTGTAGGGTGAAACCAGCTGACAGTGAAATTGAATGGAACCCAAAGGTGGGTTACTTTAGCGTTTTATGTTTTATTGACTTACGCAGTGCATTTAACCCAGAATATACGAAGAGCTGTGCTTATTTCAAGTGTTTATATGTAGAGGGATTTTTTTAAACATGGGCTTTCACTGTGTTGCCAAGAGTAATCATGAACTCCTGGATTCAAACAGTGTTTTTGATCAGCTTAGTAAGCAGTAGAGACTACAGGTTTCTGGTGTATTAGAGTCTTAAATTCGAACCTTCGCTTTGCAATTTAGGTCATTAAAAGCATGATTTACTGAGGTCTTTACTGTTGCAAGACAGTACTGCGTGTCACCGTAAGTGGACTTTAGTACCTGTGATAGAGGTACCAAGCTCCCTGGCATAGTAGTGGGAGAACCAAAGTTAAGTTCTATGTTTTAATTACTGTGCTTAAGTGATCCATGAAACAAAAATGCCTCTAACCTGTAAGCTCCTTGCCCAAAAACAGATATTCCTGAAATGCTGGAGGCTATTGTTTACCAGAGATAAAAAGCCATGTGTCTCAATCATCTAAGCAAGTTTGTTTAACCCAGCTGCACTGGAGGTGCTTGATCAATGTGGCGGGAGGTAGGCAGGAAATATGTCGGAAACATGTCAGGATGTATACTTGCCCTGATTCGACCTGATTGGAAATGCTGTGGCCTTAAAGATTTGCCTTGTTTTAGGCCTCTGCACAATGTGACTCATTGCCATTTCTTGTGAACCCAGGAGTGGACTTGCCAGAGTCTGTCTTCCTAGCCAGTATTTAATTAAAGCTTGCTTTAAATTTGGCCCAAAACTGTGGCAATGGACTTATTCTTACCTGGCAGGATTAGCAGTAGCCATTATCATTAATGCTGTCTTAGAACATATAACATATGGATCATGGTTTTAAAAAAAAATGGCTTCAGTTGGACAAAGAAAACAGTGTGAGGAGTTCCTGAGAAAATAGGGGCACAGGTTATGGATGTTCATTGGGAGGCCAAGCGATTCTGTCAGGGTTGGGAGGACTGGTTAAGAAAAGAGAGAGATGCCAGAACAGGCCATTTTCTCTGGACCCTGTGGAGTCACTAAAATGTCATCAGTCAGATAGGATATCAGCAGCAGAGAAAAATCCCTGCTCCATGCAATGTAACACAGAAGGCCACCCCACTGTGGCAGTCTGAGATGGGTGGAGGGCCTGACAGACCGTCCTATTCATTGCCAGAGCAAGGGTTCATGATAATACACCTGTTTCTAGAAGGTTAGGTTTGTGGAAGCTGGCTAGTGGGAGATGAGATAAGCCATTGTAATGAAGTTGTAAACTGACTGGGTTTTAAACAGGATTAAATACTACCTAGAAAGTAAATCAGTATCAGGGATAAAGATGCAAACTTGATGTTTCAAATTTAATTTAGAATAACTTTTTTCAGCTGGAAACTTTTCTCCTTTGTTCTAATAAGAACTTACTGAGTGTCCATTGTGTGTGAGGGGCTGTGCTGAGTTCTGCAGCCATCAGCCAGAAAGCCATAGTCCTTGTCCTTTAGGTCTGTAAAAATGACTTGGCCAAGACTCTCATTGACAGACAGCCTTACTATAGAAATGTGATGTCAGCTGGGCACTCGGGAGTCAGAGGCAGGCAGATCTCTGTAAGTTCAAGGCCAACCTGGTGTACAAGAGCTAGTTCCAGGACAGGCACCAAAGCTAAAGCTACAGAGAAACCTTGTCTCGAAAAAAAACCAAACAAACAAAAAAAGAAAAGAAATGGGATGTCCTAGTTAGACTTTCCATTACTGTGATGAAACCACGACCAAAAGCAAGTTCTGGAGGAAAGGGTTTATGGTTTATGTGACTTAGACTTCCATACTGTAGTGTATCACTGAAGGAAACAGGGCTGGAACCTGGAGGCAGAAGCTGATGCAGAGGCCATGGAGGGGTTTGCTTATCATGGCTTGCTCAGCCTGTTTTATATATATATATCTCCAGACCACCAGGTCAGGGATGGTACCACAGACAATGGACTGGACCTTCCCCATCAATCACTAATTAGCAAAATGCCTTACAAGCTGAATTATAGATGTATTTTCTCAGTTGCAGTACCTTCCTTTCAGATAACTTTAGCTTGTGTCAAATTGATATAAAACTAGCCAGCATGTCAGGTGGTGGGAGTGCATGCCTTTAATCGCAGCACTCAGGAGGTAGAGGTAGGCAGATCTCTGTGAGTTTGAGGCCAACCTAGTCTACAAAGTGAGTTCCAGGACAACCAGAGCTACACAGAGAAACCCTGTCTAGGAAAGGGGGGAAAACACCCAAAACAACAAAACTAGTCAGCACATGGGGCAAGTTCTCTTGTGTTGGTGTTCCCAGTTTACTCATTGTCCCAAGGGCACCAAAACACTCAGGACGAGGGCCAGCTCTCTCCTGTCCTGCATTATAGGGTTTCAGATAGGTGAGAGAGAGAACTCAGACATGCATTGTCTGCTGTGGTCTTTCCAGGAAGGAAAGTGGTAGCGTGCCTGTGAACAAGCAGGGCCCTCAGTTGTGTGCCATTGGTTACAGAGAGGTCTGTGGCCATGATGCCTTCTGGAAGAGCAAGCAGAGCCTCTACTTCACTTACTGAGCTGTCAAGGAAGGAAACTTCCAGATGCTGATGGCTTTCTGTGGGTTGATGGTGGAAATGGGTTCACCAGCCATAGTGAGAAAGAACATTACAGGTCCAAAGCCATGGATCCTCACCAGTTTTCAGAACTTACATGAGGTCTTGGACAAGTTCCTGCATCTTTGAAAAGAAAGGGGACTAATGCTTACCTAACCTCATAGAGTTGTTGAGAAGCAGGTACATTGTGTAGTTGTACTATGTTCCATACAGTTTATGCTGGATGAGATGCTTGCTTGAAGCCTCAGTTGAATAACAAAAGTGAGGTTTTTTTCCAGGTTACTAGATACATTCATCATAAGATTGTTGGAAAAATGCATGATGCCAAAGTGGTTCTAGCCTTGGGAAATACCCTTTGGATTGATCCAATGGTAAGTGTTCAGTTTTCTTCAAAAGAATCTGTTTGGATGACCCCCAAAAAATGATATAAAGGAACCCTAGTCTGTTGTTAGAAATGAAGGTTTATTTGGGGTTCTACATTAGGAGAGATTTTGTAATGTTTGGTCATAGGTTTGATATAGGTTTTGGTTTTGTCTGGTGGGATATTTTACATGGTGACAGTCAAGCAGCAGGCATTGTGTGTAATACACATCTGTAACATAACTGACGTTCATGAATCTTTACTGCGTGTGGCATTTTCCAGAATCTATAGTGGTGTTTCATTTCACCCTTGAGTTATAAATCACAGACCATTACGGGGGCTTCTGAGCCCACTGTCCAACCCGTTTGAGAAGTGACAGGTCAGTGTCTGCTGCTACAGTGCCTGCCTTTCCTAGTTCCTAAAGCCCTGGGGCATGCTCAGTAGTTAGCATGAGGAGTGCAGTCCTTGGCACTCAGCCGTGTCCACAGTGTCGGCCTCATGTCTTCACTGGGCATTTGTTGCGCTCCATGGTGCTAAGGCTGGAGGGCACCCTTGAGTTCCATGTTTGGGAAAAGAGCAGATGAGGCTTCCTCCTCTGGGGTCAGCGTGGAGAAGAAAGTGTAACACAGTGACGTGTGGCTCAGGCCTGTATGTCCCTGCTGACACTGTCCCTTCCTCCTTGCACCTCAAGGATTCTTCACAGTTCTGTATTAGACAAGCCTTATCCATTATTATTTATAATATTTAAAGGATTCAGTTCCCATCTTGTTCAAAGTAAAAATCACAAGGATGGAAAAGCTTTAACATATTCAGGTGGGAAATTGGAGTATAAGATTTATGAATAAGAAAAAAAAGTCATTTTTAGGAACAGAAAGTATCAATTACCAGATCAGGTAGGTAGGTACTTAGGAGTTTTAAATAGTGTCGTCATAGCTCAGACTGGAATTGTGATTTATTAGAGAAAAAGGAAGCTTTATTAAGCAAAGGAGTTTTTTAAAATGCCATCAGAATATGAAATAAAAAAGAAAACCCTCTTGGCAAACATGTTTCCACAGCTGCAAAGTGTATGACAGTGTCTACTGACACACCGGGGGCATGAGAGGAGCAGCACCCCAGCTTGGCTTCCCTTCCCACAGCAACTCTCCCCATCACTCTGAGTGAAGGCAAATTCTTCTGTATATCCCTCAGCTGCAGTGTGTGTGCCCAGGGTTCATTAGGAACATGTGCAGCAGGGCCAGCCTTTTTCCATCCCTGCCCTTCCACAGAAAGGCACCTGACCTGTGTCCACACCTCTGCACAGAGGAATCCACTGTTGCAGATTTTCATAGCTTGCTGAAATTGCACAAATTGAAATGCTTTGGCTAGAGAAAAGATGGGTGGGTGGGTGGGTGGGTGGATGGATGGATGGATAGATAAAAACAGTGTAGAACACAGGACTTAGAGCCTTGACTGGAGGAGTCCTTCCATGAGGACTCTGAGCCTTGTCAGAGAATCCAAAGAAGAGTATCTGGCTACAGCATCCTAGATTGCTGTGTACTAGGGTGTCATACCAGGGTTCTGCCCATAGCTCTCTGCAGTGTAGGGCAAGACTTAGAGGATTCTGCCATCACCTTAGTGATAAAGGCTGCTGCAGTAGGAAGCCCTTGCATACTGAGTCATGTATCCAAGTGCATCTGACTAGCAGGAAGTCTTGAGAGGTTGTGAAAGTACTGTGATCCAGTCAAGATGCAGATGTGACTCTTACAAATGTTTCCCCCTTTGATTGAAGGTGCATGTTACAAAACTATCAAATCTAAAAACCTCTATCATTGATTATAATGTTCGAGCTGAAATTTTGTCCATGGGAATGGGTATTGATAATTCAGAACACATAGAACAACTGAAAAAACTATGCAAAGAAGCCAAACTGCCAGCTTTCGAGGACCTTCTGGGCCAGACTTCGTAAGTGAATTTCTGTCTCCATTTGGAAAAGCTATGTTAAGTTAGAGGAATCTCCGTGCTCTAGACTCAGCTTTAAGAGCTTTCGGGGCTCACCAGCTTACCCCTAGTGTTGCTGGAATAGTATAAACAAATCTCAGGCATGTTGTCTTGTTTCTTTTACAGAAGGGACTTTTGTTGACATTTTATTTGCAGATAGCACAATGTGCCGTTTGATAGTCCACTTGGGACACGGGGCCAGAGTGGGGGGGACGGTGACAAACTGAGATGGAACTCCCTGGATTTGTACTTGGCTTGAATGGACACATATGCTTTGTTTGCTCTGGCTGTAGTGCCTGACACTGAGTATACATTCATCTGTCCTGTGTGTAGAACTGCAGATCTAAGTGTGCACTTAGTGTCCTTTGAGTGTGTCATGATGCTTAACCTACTGTGCTATTGGCTAAGAAGATGTCAGTCAGGACACAGTGCCCTCCCCTGCACATGGGCTGCTCTGATTCACGATGGTTTCCCACAGGTGGGATTGAGTTGTGCTTACTGCTATTGCCCACTAGTTTTTCTTCTGTATTAGCGTGTGTTGCAGGGAATAATGGGTCTCATCGTGACATTTTCATACATGCACATAATGTTCTTTGATCATATTGCCATTGCCCTTCTGTCCCTTCTCCATCTTGTTTCTCATCCTCTTCCTCCCCTTTTCTATTTTGACATCTTTAAAAAAAATCTAGATTCTGCATATGAGAAAAAAGATACAATATTTTTCTGAGTCTGGCTTCTTTCTCGTCATACAATGATTTTTAGTTCTATTTTCCCACAAATGACATGATTTAAGTTTTACAGACAAGTAAATCTCCATTGTGTGTACTCTCCACATTTTCTCTATCCATTCACCGCTGGTGGGCAGCTAGCATGATTCCATGGCTTGGTTATTGCAGATAATATTGAGGTATCACACCATGCTGGCTGTGGACTGGCAGGATGGCTCTGGGGATAAGGGCACTTGCTGCCTTAAGTTGGTTGACAGAACTTACATGTTAGAACAAGAAAATCAACTCTGATCTCCATCTGTGTGCTATGGGATGCAATATTATATACAAAATATAATAAATGTAAATATTTTCCAGTGGCCAGAGCAATTTTGAATAGTAACCATATGCAGTGAAGTCACTGTGAGAAGTGATTGTCACCTTGATGGGTTATAGAATCACTTAGGAGACAAGCTCCTGGGCATGCATCTAAGGGGCTTTTGAGATTGTGTTGAGTTGAGGTGTAAAGGTTCGCCTACATGTGGGAGCACCGTCGTATAGGTGGGGCCCCGACAACAAAGAGTGAGCTGAGTACCAGCTTTCATGCTGCCCCTGCACCCATGCCTTCCCCACAATGGACTGAACCCTCAAAGATGAGTCAGAAAATAAACCTTTCCTTATGTTGATTATATCAGTATTTTGTAACATAAATGAGAAAAGTAACTAATACAGTATACTACCAGCCTCGGAGGGAAGATAGACACAGCTTGTGTGAGCTCCAAAGGGTTTGTATTTAGCTGGGCATGCTGGCTCTTGTCTGTAATCCCAGGGTTTAGAAAACTGAGAAAGGAGGATTGCTGTATATTTGAAGCCAGTCGTGGCTCATGAATGAAGTTGTATCTCAAGGAAAAGGAGAGGCTGGGTGATGGTGGCGCACACCTTTAACCCAGCACTCGGGAGGCAGAGGCAGAGGCGGATCTCTATGAGTTCTAGACCAGCCTGGTCTACAGAGCTAGCTCCAGGACAGGCTCCAAAGCCACAGAGAAACCCTGTCTCGAAAAACCAAAAAGGAAAAGGAGAGGAGAGTGTGGTTGTATGAAAAGCTTATCAGATAGAAAAGTGTGGACACCGACTAGAGATAGAACCAAAGCCTCGAGTCTCCACTTGACAGTGTGCAGTTATGAGATGAAAGGGGCCTGGGCTCAGCTTATTTGTTGGGAAGAATGAGCAAGTAAGAACTATGGGATCTGACTGGAGGGAGGACTCCGTGGTTAAGAGTGTCTGTGCTCTTTCAGAGGACCTAAATCTAGTTCTGAGCATCTCTGACCTGATTCCCATCCCATAGATGGCTACCCTTAGGAACCACATCCTCACCAGAATTTCTTTTCTTGTGTTCTTGTCTCTTTTCTTTCTTTCTGCTTTTTTTTTTTTTCCTGTTATTTTGAGACAGGGTTTCTCTGTAGCTTTGGAGCCTATAGTTCTTGTAGACCAAGTTGACCTCGAACTCAGAGATCCACCTGCCTCTGCCTCCTGAGGGCTGGGATTAAAGTCATGTGCCACTACCTACTGCTGCCATTGTTTTCATAACAATAGTCATTCTGATGGGGCGACAAGAATATCAAAGCATTTTTAATTGGCATTTCTCTGACCTCTAAGGATGAATGCTTTTTCCAAGTATTTATTGATCATTTGTATTCTTTTGAGGATTTGTCTATTCAGTTCATCAACCCATTTGTTGACTGGATAATTTTACTTTCTGTTTAATTTTGTTTTAATTTTATTTTTATTTTATGTGCATTGGTGTTTTGCCTGCATGTATGTGAGATCTTGGAGTTATAGACAGTTGTTAACTGTCATGTCAATGCTGGGAATTGAACCCAGGTCCTTTGGGGTTTTTTTTGTTTTTTTTTTTTTTTTTTTTTTTTTTTTTTTTTTTTTTTTTTTTTTGTTTTTTTTTTTTTTTTTTTGGTTTTGGGTTTTGGTTTTTTCAAGACAAGGTTTCTCTGTAGCTTTGGAGCCTGTCCTGGAACTAGCTCTTGTAGACCAAACTGACCTTAAACTCACAGAGATCCACCTATCTCTGCCTCCAGAGTACTGGGATTAAAGGCGTGGGCCGCTACCTCCCTGCAAACCACTGACATCAACTACAGAGCCCAACTGCAGCAGGGCCAGAGACCCATACATAGCCAGCCCTAGGCCAGACATCACCACGGACCCAGGTGGCAGTGCAAGTTTATTAGAAGTGTATGGCCCACCCTCCGGGCATCTGCAGAACCCTCAGTGGTAACAGGAGCCACAGCATCAACACAGACCACTATGGCTGCATCAGGGCCACGAATCGAGACATGGCCCTTGGCAGCAGCCCAGGCTCAGACATCACCATGGCTCCGAGTAGCAAGTAGGCCACCCATATCAGCTGGTTCTTCATTGCCCGCGATTCCTCAGATCAGCTTCTCTCCCCAGCACATGGACCTGTTTGTCTCTCTCTCCCATTTCCCCATTATATACCCCTCATCTATGGTACCACCTGGCACCACACGCCCACGGCCAATCTCTGCCTACCTAGGACAAATGTCCCAGGGCAGTGCTGCAGCTGTCCTCCATGTGCCTGGGCCTCCTGGCGCTGCACGACTGGTAGCTGGTCTCTGCCTGCCCCTACTTGTTGAGATTTAATCCTTTTCACACCATGACCTTGGAATTGAGCAGAGAAAAATTTGGTTGTGGTCGGGAGTTGAGGTCAGGGCTGAGACAGATGCAGAGCCTTTGAGGTATAAGATGAAGCAATCTGGAAAGAGACACCTATTCCATAGCACTTAGAGAATCAAGTTTAGGGAGATCCTGCAAGAGGATGGTAGTAGTGGCAGGGAACCTGTAAACCTGTGGAAAGACTGTCTTTGAGGAGTCAAGAGCCAGGCAAGTGTGGGTCATTGGAGTCACAGTGGATGGTAGAATGTGAGTAGGCAGGCTTGGCATCTGGCTGTGTACGCAGACTCTAGGTATGCCAAAGTGTTCAGAACTCTCAAACAATTGAAAGGCAGCATGTGGGAATGAGGAGACAGGAAGCTCAGTGAGATGGGTTGGCAGGTGGGATAAGGGAGGAAGTTCTGGGCACGCCTGATGGAGAGGTCATGGGACTGAAGGGTTGGTACAGGGCTGGGATTCTGAGATACAATGACAGAGGGTGATAGCACTGTGGAGAAGCAGAGATGTTTGGGTGGGGGCAACTCAATGGAGCAAAGGCCCAGAACTGGTTCTAGAACAGGGTAAGTTGGAAGGTCATTGAAAGAATAAGTACAGGAAAAAACAGCTAGGAGAAAGGCCCATCCATGGTCTGCTGGCCCTGAGGGTCGACATGAAGTATGGGGGGAGGAGGGGCAGACTGGGGCTGAGGCCATGCTTGTATCCTGTATGGAAGGTCAGTGCTTTGGTAGTGGCAGCGCTGGAGGCCCTCTGCCTAGGTTCATCGTGTTGGTCAGAAACCTCTGGAGACTATGTCCTCTCTTCTTTAGAGATGTCTGTATCTGTGTCATGTGAGTGTCAACTTGGATTCTCTCTGAAAGCCTTGCAGACTGTCGTCTATAGAAAGGAAACTGGGAAGCAGGGTTGCAGGAAAGTATTTCTTGTATTGACCTTTTTAAATTTGAACTACGTGACTGATGTGCTGTTTTGGTTTTTTTTATTGTTGTTGTCAACTTGACACACGTGGACATATTTGGGAAGGGAACCTGGAATAACGGAGTTGTATAAAATGGGGGTGTAGGCAAGCCTTCAGGGAAGTTTTTTTAAATTAATTTTTAATATTTATCACTTAGAATGTGAATATTTCAGTAGCACAGTATTAGCCTAGAATACATTTAAGCCCTGGGTAAGTCCCTAGCATTGGAAAAAAAGTAGAAGGAGGAAGAAAAGTGTTTTAATTTTTACAGAATTAATATACAGAGAGAATATGTATTTAATTTGAGTCAGGGTCTCTATGTAACCATAGTTGTCTGGATCTCACTATGTAGACAGTCTGGCTTTGAACCTTCAGGGAAGTTTTTAAATTGATGCCTGATGGGGGTGGGCCCAACTTGCTATGGGGGGTACCATCCTTGGGCTGATTGTCCTGGGTTGTATAAGCAAACAGGCTGAACAACCCAGAAGGAGCAAGCCAGTAAGCAGCTCTCCACCATGGCCTCTGCATCAGTTCCTGCCTCTAGTTTCCTGCTCTGACTTCCTGCCCTGCCCTCCTTCAATGATGGACTGTGATATGGAGCT